TTTTTTTTTTTTTTTTTTTTTTTCTTTAATACTGATTCTAACAAACTCGAAACTATGTTACATAAATGTCTTAATCTAAAACAATATATAAAAATATATAAAAATAGGAAAATGATAGCTACTAATTATCAATAGGAACATGATTTATTAGGTTCAATCGAAACGATTTTTTGTATCTCATTAAAGATTCGTCAGAACATCGATAAAATGTTACTTTCGTAATCGAAGCAATATCTTCAGAAATTTGCTTCATTAATCATTCCCCCTATCTAACTAGTTACCAACGAAATATTTTCAATCGGTGACTTTTCTTGCAACGATGATAGAAAAACAAGTAACAAGAATTTATAATAGAAAGGGAAGCACAATAAGTAGAATCGTAATTGTTCGCTGTATAAATGAGTTTGCCAACTACTCCGGTTTGTCGAATTAAATAACGTTCAATGGCCTAGTTAAAAAAAATAATGAAGAGAAAGGAATATAATTAACGAGGATGGAAGAAAAGTTGCGTTCACATCGTACGATCGACAAATCGTTTGCACGATGACGCATTTGTTTAAGATTGATCTTAAACGTGATCTCGTTGATCCAGTAATTTTCTCTGATGATCGTCTCCAAGGCAAACAAGTATATCTCGATGTTTAAAATTTCCATGGAAGGTAATTTCTGCTTTCTTCCCAATCAGTTTCACAAAAATCTTCTTTGACCCTAAAGTAGAAGAATCGCGGTTCACGTTTCCAAAGATTGGCATTAAGTTAATTATAAACGAATATTCAACGAAAACAAAGTGTTACTCGTCAACAATGTTTTTCCCCTCGATCGTGGAATGGATTATCTTGAGCTGCATTCATCATTAAGTATCTGCGATTGACACAAAAATCTTATCAATCTGCTATCTGCACAATGAGACAAACAACATAAAGGGGAAACGAAGTCGCGTGATTGTTTGTCTTCTGGAAAAAATTATTTGCTCGTGCAAGTTATTGCCTCTGCTAAATCCTCGAGATTCTACATTCGAGAGTCATCTTGTTCGATAGCGAAATATGTAAGAATTCTCGAACAAGTTGGGAAATGAAGACCACGGATCGGACGCGTGCGATTGGCACGATCACGAGAATCTAAGCAATCCCGTAAATAGGAGTTAAATCCCGCAAACATTTCGAAGGTCGGTTTCGACGTGACACTAATGATTCCCCGCGCAAATTAGTCAGCGAAGCATAATGGCAAGGTAAACGTGCATCGCGCCAGCCCCGT